GCCAGCTTCTGGAGGTGGCCACAAAGGATTTTGTCAATTTTGATGAGAAGGCTAGACAGGAGGCCAACAAGAAGATGAAAAGGAAAGTGGACCTCCTGAAGCAACCCTTGCTGAGCAGTCAGGTGGGCCCTGAGAGCTAATCCAGGCAGAGGCAGAGGCAATCCCCAAGGACAGCAACAAATGCCCCAGGACATCCCTGCCCTAGGGAGGAACTAGGCTGAAATCAATGTGCCTACTGTTGTCAGGAAGGGCACTGGAAGAATGAATGTCCCCAATGGGCCAAGGACTCCCAAAGGCCACCCCCCCAGACCAGAGGCAGAGGCCAGGTTGTCGAAGGAAAATATTAGCCCACCCACAGGGGAGCCAGCCCCTGGGATGAAAATATTGTCAGTCTGGCAGGCCTGGATGCTATGAGGAGGACTAGGACTGACTGGGCTCCATTCTACTGGGCCCCCAGGAGCCTATGGTCCAAATGAAAATAGGGGACACTCCGTGGATCTCATGTTGGACACAGACACAGAATATTCAGTTGTGACCCAACCAGTGGGGCCCTCTTTCCAAAAGGCATACAACTATTATTGGGGATACAGAGGACTGGGCCAACCACCCCTTCTTAGTGTCCAGACAATGAAATCTTGGGACTCATGAAGTAAGGCATGAATTGTTTTATCTCCCTGATTGCCCTGTGGACTTGATGGTCAGGGACTTATTATACAATCTTAGGGCACAGATAACTTTTAATTTGGATGGCACAGCAGCCTTAAAGTTGAGAGGACCTGAGGCAAAGACTCTAATCCTCAGGGTTGCACAGGAAGAGGGATGGAAGCTCTATGCCCCTGAAGGGACACCTCTTGAGATTCCTGAACTTTCCTTCAAGATTGCAGGTGTATGGGCTGAAGATAACCCCCCAAGTCTTACCCGAAATGTGCCCCAGGAGTATTGGAACTAAAGCCAGGAGCCACTCCCATCAGCCAAGAACAGTACTTCATCCCCTACAAGGCCCAGGTCAGAATTCAAAAACACCTTGACAGACTCCTACAATATGGGATCCTCCAACCTTGTCAGTCATTCTGGAACACCCCTTATTATCAGTCCAGAAACCAGGGACTGAAGATTTCAGGCCAGTTCAGGACCTCTGGGCAGTAAATTCAGCAAATGTTACTTTGCACCCTGTAGTCCCAAACCCACACATGCTTTTAGGCTTTGTTCCAGCCAAGGCAAAGTTTTTTACCTGCCTAGATGTTAAGGACAAATTTTTTCTGCATCTGCCTGGCCCCACAGAGCCAGCCTTTTTTGCCTTCCAGTGGGAAAATTCCAATAATGGAGAAAAGGGGCAACTAACCTGGACTCAACTGCTACAAGGTTTCAAACATTTGCCCACTATTTTTGGAACTGCCTTGGCATCCAACCTCAAAGCCTTGTCAGCTGACCAGTAAGGCTGCATACTTCTCCAGTATGCAGATGACCCCCTGCAGGCTGGACCAACTCAGGAGGACTTATGGAAGGGATTCACCACCTCCTTTCTCTTTTATGGGAGGCAGGATACAAAGTCTCTAGGAAAAAGGCCCAAATTTGTCAAAACACTGTCAAATACCTTGGCTTTCGCCTGTCCCAGGGGCAATGCAGGCTTGGCCCTGAGAGAAAACAGGCTGTCTGTTCCATCCCAGCCCCTAACACTGGCCAGCAAATTAGACAGTTTTGGGGAGCTGTGGGTTTCTGCCAAATCTGGATCCCTATCTACTCTTTCTTGGCCAAATCCCTCGAGAAGCTACAAAGGGAGGAAAATGGGAACCTTTGGTATGGGGAAGAGAGTAAGAGAAAGCCTTTAAATAAATCAAGAAGGCACTTACAAATGCCCTTGCTGTAGGCCTGCCAGATGTGATGAAGCCCTTTTTCCTGTATGCCCATGAGTATTGGGGTCCTGACACAAGTACTAGGCTTCTGGCACCATCTGGTGGCTTACTTATCAAAACAACTTGATACCGTGGTTTTTTTTTTTTTTTTTTTGAGGCTGGCTGCCTTGCCTGCATGCTCTAGCAGCCGCCATTGCTCTGGTGACAGAAGCAGATAAACTTACCTAGGGCAAGAACTCACTGTCCGAGTTCCCCACTCTGTCCTGATGTTCATGGAGTATAAGGGAAATTATTGGCTGACCAATAATTTCCAGAATATGCTATGTGAAAACCCATGCATCCAGCTAGAGGTTGTTAAGAGTCTAAACCCAGCCACCCTATTGCTGGTTGATTGAGGCCCTCCAGAGCATGACTGCTTAGAGATTATGGATGAGGTTTTCTCTAGCTGGCCAGATCTAACCAATCATCATATCAGCAATCTGGACATTGAATATTTCACAGATGGCAGCAGCTTTGTCCAGGATGGAAGACACTTTGCTGGGTATACAGTGGTGACTCTGGACAGTCATTGAGGCCTGCCTGCTGCTGCTTGGGACTTCTGCACAAAAGGCTGAGCTTGTTGCCCTCACACAGGCATTCCAACTTGCTGCAGGAGGATGGGTAAACATCTATACTGACTCTAAACATGCCTTCACAACCATTCATGTCCATGGGGCCTTATATAAAGAGCGGGGACTCATTAACTCAGGAGGAAAAAGTAACAAGTATGACAGGAAATCCTCAAACTGCTAGATGCTGTATGGTCTCCTAAACATGTGGCAGTTATACACTGCTGAGGGGACCAAAATGGAGATGTAAAAAATTGCTCAGGGAAACCAGAACACTGGAGCGGGGGCAGGCGGTGAAATAGCCAGTAAAGTTGTATGCAACCACATATGGGTTAAGCTTTGCTTTTTGCTTCTGTAACCTGCTTGCAAGCGTATATACAGTAAACCTTCTTTGTTCTCGGGGCTCAGCCTTTGGACTTGAGTCCACTGAGTCTGTGCCAGCACAATAAAGCATTGCTTCCTGCTGAATTGCCTCAGTGTCCATACCTCAGTTTGAGATTCCCATAACACTGGCAATTTAATATCTGTAGTCTTTTGCCTTCAAACTTGCTTTGGTTCCCTATCATCTTTCTTCTTTCTTAGAAGCACTGGCAAAAAATAGATAAAAGAATTTTGACCAATATTTCATGCCTCCAGAGCCAAAGGCAGTAGCAGACACAATTGCTCCTCCAGAGAGGGAGAGGAGGAAGATGAGGAGGGATTAGACCTGACCATCAAAGTCACTTGAATTGCATCCTTTTCCACCTACTCTTGTTTTTGTTAGTTTTTTTTTTAAATTTTTTTGAGCTGAGAGCTAAAGTAAAGCACAAAAGGAAAAGAAGGGCATAGACAGAAGTCATGGATCAGTTTGTTTATACAATGTGAAAATGATTTTTTAATTCTTCTGAAAGATTAACCACACATTTTCAAGTCATGGAGATGATTTTGCCACCAGTGCTAACCTGCACCTGTTTCCCGAGTTTGTTGTTTTTTGGTGTTGCCTGATGGTTGCTTACTTTCCCTTGGAAAGTAGACACTGGGTTCTTTCATGGTCACAGATATAAACAAGAGATAATAAGGCTCTGAGGATTTGATGCATAACCACTGTAATAAAAAAGCCTTGTCCAAACAATCATAGCTGCCATGTAACTGGCTGCAAAACATATTTGTTCTGGAAATACTCCTCCATAAGAACACAAGCCACATGCACCGGAGTGTAAATGAATGCTCTCTTGTAACTCACAACATGAATTTCCTGAATGATCCCACTGCCACCTACTCCAGAAGCCACAGCTTTAGATAGAGACAACAAGAGAAAAGAAAACCTTATGAATGTATTACAAGGCAAATGATTACCTTTTATGACTTTGTGTCACAATCAGGAGGTGACCAATACCCAAAAGGGTACTTTGTGTTGCAAAAGAGTTTCACCACCACAGTTAAACCATAGGCAGGACATACAGGAGAAAAGTATCTGACTTGGATTTTCCCTTAATATAACTGTAGAGTAACTAGTGATTTGGTATCCTTTATTGTCAAAGGAAATGGAATAAATCTTATGAAACACTTTTAAACTTAAATTTATAAGGACACTTATTGAATACCTACTAGATACATATGTAAAGATTATATATTTCAAGTTGAGGAGGGTGAAGACAAAGCCTCAAAGGCAATTCCACTTCCAGTTAATAATTACATTAGAGACAAAGAATAAAACATAATGTGAAATAACAGCAGCCACATGAAAATAAGTGTCTTCAAAGAGAGGAAGGTAAGTTCTCTCTTTTGACTTTGTATTTCATATTAATGAACTACCCCAGTGTAACCTAACTAAAGGTCATGAGTTTTTGAATCACTACTCAGTCTCATTTGCATGATAGGATGTGGGTCTTTATTTTACTTCTAGCTTTGTTAGCACAAAGAAAAGGGTAATTATGGGAAAAGAATAGTAAAGTGTGAGGAAGAAAGGGGGATGTTAAAAGTGGAAGAATGCCCTTGGGAGTCAAAGAGACCACCAGGTGGGACCCCTTTCAGGGAGAATTTGGGAAAAGGGGAGGCTGACGGAGCTCTATCTTACTTCTCCTTTGGCTTTAAAGGTATATCTAAGTCTTGCCTTCAGATCCATTGCTTGACTTTCTATCTCGTTTACAGAACCTGCCCTGTGTCTACATCCTTTGCCACCATCTTTTAGCCTCTTTTCTCCCCTAGTTCTTGGTCTGTTCTAACACCATCTCTTTAGCTCTGGATAGCCTTGTGTGATGTTTATTCCTAAAAAGGATTCTCTCCATGAATCATACCCTTATCCCTGTTCCCATGGGCAGCCACTAGGCCATTTGAGATCTCACATTAATTTGATGTCTCCTGTATTTGTTAGCAATCGATTCCGTTCCTGAAACTGCCAAAGAGCTCTGACTCCTTTGTGGTGAGGGCAATAGTCCATTTTGAATTCCTTGAAAGTTACAGGCTATCATATTTTTTTGAAACTAAAGCTAGGAATCCGTTATTCTTCTGGCCCTCCATTCTAAGTCTCCTGTCACTTGAATTATTTATTTTTTATTACCAGATCCTTCCTTCTGTTTAAACATCTTCCTCACAGTCTGGCAGGCAGAGCCGTCTCCAAGGCACACACCACAGCGATCTTCCGTGGCATTGGAATCAATCTCATAGTCACAGCCGACCATCTGTGGGGAGAAGAGGGTCAAGATGAATGACTCAAGCAGGAGATGTTGCACTCCCCTCAACCTGTGATTTCTCCTTCCCCCTTCATTCTTTGTAAGCCTGGTGGGGTATACAGGAGAAATGTTTGTTTATTGTTTTTAGTGGTGGCTAGAGGAATAAACCAAAGCATCCACCAATGGTGAAGGAAGTACAGTTATCTCTCTGTAAGCCCAGAAGATTGGTTTCAGGACCCCCAGAGATAACAAAATTTGCAAATGCTTAAGTCCCTTAAATAAAATGGTATATACTATTTGCATTTAACCTGCACACATCCTCCTATATATTTAAAATCATCTCTAGATTACTTATATACCTAATACAATGGAAGTGCTAAACAGTTGTTATACTTTATTATTTAGGAAATAACAAGAAAAAAGGTCTGTGCATGATCAGAAGACAAGATCTTTTTCAATCCCAGATTGGTTGAATACACGAATATGGAACCTGCAGAGATGTAGGGGTGATTGTGATTGTACTTGCTTAGAAGGGACAGAGGCACACATTGAGTGACATCTCCAATTTCCCCGAGGCAGAACTGAACACCTTTCCAAAAACCTAATTATGAAAATGCCTGGGGATTGGAATTGGTGGAGGAGCAAGTCTCTTGTACCCCCTCCTTTCTACTGAAAATTTCCAGGGCTGATGTACTACTCCACCTGTAATTTGGTTGTTTGATCCCTTTATATTCCTCACTGGAGTTATTCTTCCTAGTTTCTATCTCATATGGCAGATAAACCAGCAATCACTGGAAGAAACCTGGGTTAATGCTGGGATGATGCCAGTCTCAAGAGGGATGAAATCTCTGACCTTTAGACTCATCATCACATACTTTAGAGTCATCATCACATACTTTAGAGTCTCCCATAACCTCATCTCCAGAGCACTTCATACTTACCTGTATTCCAGCTATCCTGAGCTCCCTCCCTCCAGCTTCAGAAGAAAAACTGGTTATTGCCCCTCTGGACTATGATGAATTATGCTCCTGTGCCCTAGACCTAATCCATTCTAAGTGTTCTGTTCAATGGTTCTCCTGAATCTTCATCTTTCCTTCTCCACATTTCCTCCAGTCTGTCAACATGGCCAATTCTTTCCTATTCTAAAATTATCAGTCTGAAAAAAGCAGTCCAATGAAATGAGGGGTTATCTATAACTTCAGATCCCAAGGAATCATAACACTTAACTTAGAAGACATGAAACATGTGAGTTTTCATTAAATTTTTGTGTTGTCTTTCTTCCATGACTACATTGGAAGACTATACCATATTCTATTAGTTATAATTTTCTTTCCTGTTTGGGAAGAATTGTGCCCAGGTATGTTATTTTTCTTCTCATGGATAATTTTCTTTCTAATTATAAAGACACCTTGAATCTACTGAAAGGAAGAGTGGCTTGAGTCTTTATACTCTAGACCAGCTGAACAGAATCAATGCCCACTGACATGAAATAGCTCAATTCCTCAGGTTAGCCATCTCTAATTTTCCTTTTGGCACAAAGACTGTACTATTTGACCTAGTTGAGGAAAAAATTAAAGTGCTATGAGATTTTTTTCAAAAACAAAACTTAATCATACAAATCGCAATGGAAAGAAAATTGTCTTAGACGTATGTATGCCTGCAGTGGTTAGGAGTAAAACACCAACTTTTCACACAAGTGATGTGTTTATGTCAAGCTTGAACAGCCTCTAATAAGCTGACCTTTATAGATTTCATTCCCAGTGACCTTCATTCCTCCACTGATTTGGATCAGGTCAGGGAAACTTACTCTGAGACATATTAATTTTAAAGTGTTTTCCTTAATTTCTACCAAGAGAGAAATAGATTAAAAATGTAAAGAACAAAGGAAGGGAGCAAAAAATATGAATCTCTGGAGCCCAAGTCTTTCTTCCTGAGTGAGTGATCATGTTTGCTCAGTAATATTAACCTTCTTAACTGGGGGACAAGAGTCAAAGGAAGGAGATATGCACATGTCTCCAATGTGCTGTCCCTCTTCATATTACCTGCATCTTATAGAAACCTCACCCAATTTGCTTCTCCTGTAGCTGCACATTGTACAATAAAAAGTGAATTTAGTACATAACAAAAGGAATGTGAAGCCAAAAACCAGGCCTCTCTGTTGCACAGAAAGCATAAAGTGCTCTCAGAGGAAAACAGACTTCACTCAAGAGTTCACTACATGTACCCTGGCAATCAGAGGAGGCTCTGCTGCTGCTATCAAATGAGCAGAGTGACTTCAGCATGGCTCTTCTTGATGTAATTCTGGGGATCACCCCAAATGAGCAGTGTTTTTTGAAAAAAAAAATTCCCATTGTTTTAATTCTTGACCCTAAAATATTGCACTGCAAAGCATTCTATCTTGATTATTACTTAAAGAAAACATGAATTAATAAGTAATATTAATTTGTACCAATTCTCTTTCTCTAACTTAGGAGTTAGCATTGTTTTACTTTGTAAATTCTCAAGTTACTAAGAACTGAAATACCAAACTGGCACTTGGAATGCCATCATTTCTTTCTAAAGTACTTGGCAAAAGGAGAGACTGGAAAGGTGACTGTTCTTAGATGAGATTTATTTCCAACCAATGAAACTAGGACACAGTTATAGGCAAATGAGGTACTGTTATTTGGCAAATGGGACAGTAGTATAAGATTTTCCTCACCATTATTTTTTCAAGCTTGATACTTGTTGTAGATTCAATTGTGTCCCCAATACAGATATTGAGTCCTTCCCTTGGTAGCTGTGAATGTGCTCTTATTTTGAAATAAGATCTTTGCAGACATAATCAAATTAGGGTGAGGTTAAACTGTATTGGAGTGGCCCTAAGTCCAATAGCTGATATCCTAATAAAGAGAAATTTGGAGACAAAGAAACACAGAGGGAAGACAGCCATTGTTAAGATGAAAGCAGAAATTAGAGTGATGTAATTATATGTCAGACAACCACCAGAAGCTTAGAAGAGTGAAGGAAGAATTCTTCCCTAAAAAATCTGTACAGAAAATATGCCCTAGCACAACTTAATTTAATATTTCTAACTTCTGGGACCATAAGATAATGTATTTCTTTCATTTTAAGTCACTAAGCTTATATTAACTAGTTATGGCAGCTCTAGGGAACTAACATAGTTTTATGTTTTCCATTTAAGATGGGGAAACAAATTCTGAAAGTCATATTCAAACCTTAGGTCACTTTTCTGATTAACTCTTTGATAGCTCCCAATGTCCTAAAGGTAGAGACCAACCTCCTTATTAAAATAGGCATCCATGCTTCTACTGCATACATGGCTTTTTCTGTGGAACACTGAGCTATCTTTACCTTCTGTGCCTCTCACACTGGATCTCTACAAATGAACTTCCACCAGTCTCTCTTCCAAGGTTAATTTATACTCCTAGTCCACTCTTAGAATATACCTTCTTCTCCTGACTCCTGCCTGTGGGTGAGGCTCTCTCAGAGCACCTGACTTGAGAACACTGGCTGGTGAAAGGCCTCCAGCCCGTCTTCCTGACTCCTTGTCAGAGTTTCCCACAAAACCCTGATCATCTTCTCCTAAATAGCCAATCTGATCTCTATCCCTAGAGCCTGAATTGATCCCAGGCGTTTTGGGTATCACACCTTGTCTAGTGGTGGTGGTGATTTGTTTGTTTTCTTTCAGAGAGAAATTAAGGACTTATTTTCTGTGTCTGTAGCTAGTTTTAGTTAGTTCAGACATTGTAATAAATGAAAACAGAAACTAAAAAAGCTGAAAATACACCCTAGATCTTGGAAAGATAATTTCTATCCAGGCTAGTAGATATATTTTATATGGTACCATTTTTGAGCTTAAAAATTTAACTCAGTGTGGTATAGACAGAACACGGGCAATTAACTCTTAAAAGGCTTTGACTGGCTCTCAGAAAGAGTAAAGCCAACTGGGAGAATTTGGCTTATTCTTTTATACCCATTTAATTGGTTTCTTTAGAGATACCTAAGACCCCTTATATTTTGTTCAAAACACCGGCTTTCCAAGGAAGATTTAAGATGTTATCTCTACACATGCAAAATCCATAGGTCCACAGGATAATTTTTGTATCACATTCATTTCTAGGTGACTATAGTTCTCAGAGATAGTTGCATATGTTAATTACCTAGAGAGATTTTTAAAATACTAGTACCTCTACCACAAGTCCTTAGATTCTGAATTAATAGGTTAAGACACAGTCCAGAAATCAGTAATTTTTAAAAGCTCTTCTGGTGATTCGGAGATGTAGCGAGGACCAAGAATCACTACTTTGGACAGAATTGGTCTGTTTTGGTTTGAGTTCTCTCTGTTTTTCTCTCTCTGTTTCTCTCTCTCTCTCTCTCAAACAGACCTAACCCAAAATATATTATTTTTGGCTCTTCATAGCCACAATAAAAGTTAGTCAATCTGAAAGAAAATTTTGCCTAAGCTCTTTTAAATTTAAAATCTCAGTATGGTTTGTTATTAGTTCAGTCATGCCTGGGAATCATCATCTTGCCTTTGCATTTCGTTTATCACTCAAGTAAATAAAAAGCAACTTCAAGACTGGGTGCGTGGATCATACCTGGGATGCCAGCTACTTGGGAGTGGAGATTGGGATGATCGCAGTTCAAAGCCAGCCTGGGCAAAAAGCTAGAAAGAAGCCATCTCAATTAATACACCAGGTGTGGTGTTTCATGACTATAACCCCAGCTATGTAGGAGGACCATGGTCCAGGCTGGCCCCAAGCAAAAATGTGAGATACTACATGAAAAATGCCTAAAACAAAAAGGACTTGAGATAGCGGGGCAGCAGTGGCTCTCGCCCATAACCCTAGTTACTCAGGAGGCAGACATCAGGAGGGTCCTGGTTCAAAGGCTGCCTGGGCAAATAGTTGATGAGACATTATCTCAAAAGAAACCATCACAAAAAAAGACTCATGGAATGGCGTGAGATCAAACCTTAGTACCACACACACACAAATAACAAAGGATTCGAGGTGTGGCATGCTGCAAGTGGAAGAATGCTGACCTAGTAAGTATGAGGCACCAAATTTTTTGGCAGCCTATCTATGGGCAAGAGCTTTTCATGGGAACTATTTTATCCGGTGGAAAAAATTATTAAGTTTATTATACACCAGGGTTTCTGTCAAGAGCTTAAGATATATGATCATGCTTAAAGTTTTTGACAACCCCTACTAGGCAGATAAATCAATATCCCAATTTTATTCTAGAAGGCAATATTAGAAAGAGGTACAGGATCAGCTGGACATGGTGGTACATGTCTGTAATTCCAGCTACTCCAGAGACAAGAGGCAGAAAGATCATAAGTTCAAGACCAGCCCAAGTATAGTTAGTGGGAGTCCCTATTTCAAAAACAAAAGGACTAGTGGCATGGCTCTAGTGGTAAAGTGCTTGCCTGTCATGTGCCAGACCCTGGGTTTAATTCCCAGTACTGAAACAAAACAAAAAAACAGAACAAAAGAAAGATGAGTCCTCTCTGGGGGTTGGCACCAGTGAGAGGGGGAGGGCATAAGGAAAGGGTGAAGGCAAGTAAATATGGTCAAAGTATTATGTATTCATGTATGAGAATGGAACAATGAAACCTACTGAAACTCTTCTAAGAAGTGGGGGTTGAGGGGAAGAGGGATAAAGGAGAAAGTTGGAGGAGGTGACTCAAAGATATATTGTAAGCACTTTTGTAAATGTTACAGTGTATCTCTGGTACAACTATAATATGCAAATAACAAAGGAAGGAAGGGAGGAAGGGAGGGAGGAAGGGAGAAAAGAAGAGATGGAAGGAAGGAAGGAAGGAAGATCATACAGCTGGTAAATAATGGTGTTGAGTCATAGTTTAGAGCATCAGTGCTAAATGATTATACTTTACTAATAGCTAATTAAGTATTACTATATACTTTTCCTTTAATTGACTAAAATCACCTTTGCTTTAAACTGAGATTTATGCTTTGGCATTGGATCATGAGACTTGTGTTCCATTCCTTGCAAAATAAGCTACAAACAATAAGAAGGAATTCCTTAATATTTTTATACTTGAGAGCATTAGCAAATCAGGTCTAAATAATACAGGTGGAATTGATCAATAGAATGAATATGGAAAAATTACATAAAATTCAAAGCCCTGATTAGGACTACCTGCTATGCTATCTCTCTTTCTGAGAAACTCATGATTACAACCAATGGAGAATTAAATGTTATAACATTTTGTGAAAAGCACAACCCAAACTAGAATTAATTCCATTTTTTTCTCCAATGTAATATTCCTGAAATAATCTGGGCTGCCTTTTCCTAACAGTTTCTCCTTGAATTTGGCTCTTCAATTTCACTTTCCTCAATTCCTAAAATAGTAACACAGTGACCATTTACAAATCAATAAATCAAAGTGTCAGCAGAAGGAAAAAAAATTCAAGTCAAAACTGATTTTAGTAAGCACTGAGAAGTCTTGTCTTCTTGTTTCTCAGACCATGAGCTTAGAAAATCTGACTTCCTAAATTGACAAAAATCCTAAATTTATAAAGTTGTAGATTAAGGAAACATACCCAATACCTTACACATGCCATTAATACAGATATTTCTGCTGTTGCCACCTTCAAAGCAAGGGGTACCATCAATGACAGCATCCAGCATTTTCTCGGAAAACTGGCCATCTATGGGTCGGCAGTAGAGCTCACAAGGACGTGCTGAAGTGAAAAGAAGACAAGTCCTTACAAGTTAGCTTTTTATCTCAGCACCCATCTTCAAGAATACACATGACTCACAACATGTTAATATGAAGTCTTTTAAAATTTTTATCAGTTAAGGGTTCTACAGCTAATTAGATTTGGAAGACTGAGAGAAAATGTTATATGCCCTTTGCTATAAATGATGAGACCTTTCAACCAACATTGAGCTGTAGTGGTAAAAATAAAGCACTGGTCATCCATTTTCTAACTAGAAAATAAATAATAACAACCAGTGATACAGACTTCCAGGCAAACATGATGACTGCTCATTGTCTACAGCAGTGAGCATGGGATGGCAGTCCTTTCTCATGGGGCCAGTTCATTACTAATGCCATCTCCAGCCTCACCAGCACCATAACTCACCCCAATAAACATTCTTTCTTATTTTCCTCAAGTCAAAGAAGTGCTTGGACATGGGCTGATAACCGTGTAGAAACAAATGGTATATGATTTTTGCCAAAGCTGATGCCAGCCTGCTTTTCAGAGCCATGCTAACAGTTTTCTACTCTCTCATGAGTGAAGATAGGAACTTTTAATAAAATACACATTCACACATGTGTACACAGAATAACTAGGAAGATAGATAACTTTTACAGCATAAGTTGAAATTAAAATTTTAATAGGTAATGCATGTATATGGTAAAAATTCAAATTGTACTTTTCTTTTGTTATGTTCTTTGTCATATTCCTTTAAATGAGAAACTTGAGAATATCTTCTTCATAAAGCCTTTTGGTAAGTGTCTTTTGGGTCTGTTTACTGTAGGCAGGGCTGTCAGTTTCTTGGTGCTGTAGCCAACTAAGTGTGCAGTAATTCTAGCCTTACCAAGGGTGGATGGACACCAAATGTAAAGCTATGGTGCATGGCACAAACTATGTCTGTTCAAGGAGTCATGATCCATGATGAAAGCAAAATAAAAATGTAAAACATTCAATCATAACAAAGACCAAATGCTATGACTAGTGAAACTCTGGATAAACTTGAGAATAAGGTCAAACACATGTGTTCAAAAGTTAAAGTAGAAAGGTAAGCAAAATAAGCCAGACACAGAAAGACAACACATGTTTTCTCTCATATACGAAGTATAGGTTTAAAAAACCATATGAAAGTAGAGAGGAAAAAGGAAGAGGACCAGTGGGAGAAGGAAAGGGAGAAAAAAGGAATAGTGAGGGAGAATACATGCATGAAAACATTGTAATAAAGTCTGTTATTTTGTACAATTAATATATGGTAATAAAAATTTTCAAAAGCAATAAAGAATGTCAACTGATTTTATAGAAGGTGCAATGGAAGAGCTCATTGGACAAAATGCCAATGGAAAGGGCCAAAGGACTCTGAGGATCTAGGACTATTGGGGATTAGTGTACATCTTCTTTCATTGCAGTGTGGTTTGAACAGCCTCATCACTATCCAAACACAAGTGGAAGTATGTAGAGGAAGCCACCTGGGAGCAATTCTGCCTTCCAGGGAAAAGAGCACCCATCAAAGTGCTAAATCCAGGGAATCATTCATTGAGATTTTGATTTGAGCTTTATGATTCAGAATTTTGAATTGGGACATGTAAAGCAGAAAAGGAAAGCATCCCTGGATAATTCTAGAACTTTAAAAAGTTATCTACTTCAAAGCTGCTGGGAAGGGCTGGGTTGATGGGGACCTACAATGCAAAATTTAAGAAGGCACCTGCTGTCAGTGTCATACAAGTGTATCCCTGAAGTGAGTAATTCTCCATCCAATTTCCAAATTCCATTGGTTGCACCAAATTCCAGAATGAGGAAGTTCCAATGTTTGCTTAGTTTTGTGGGTTTTTGATATTTGATCTACTTCTTGAAAGACAAAAACTGTCCAGAGAGACTCTTGATAGTCTTGTTTATATAGTGAATTAAAAAGAATTCGACTTGTTAAGAATAAAAGCTAATCAATTTGAGCATTACTTCCCAGGTTTTGTTTTGCTTTACAGTGCTTATCTCATTTGGATAATCACAACTAGTTCTTTTCTCATCTGTGTCACAGATGAGAAAATTTAGGCACACAAATATTGTGTTCTTAGGTCTCCCAGTATGGTGGCACAGTTAAACTACCAGAGTGGATTAGTTTTGGAGCTTAGTTCAACACTACCAACCCTTAACCTATGGGCACAATATTTTCATCAATAAAAAATAAATTTGTTTCATGAGATTTTAAAATGGTCACTCTTTGCATAATTAGGCAATGCTGTATTTGTGGATCATGACATGAATATACCAAACAAATCTGGTAGCATTCTGACTGGACAGTATTTTAATTCAAAGTCTCTTCTGTAATGGGGTGTATGTATAGGAAAAATATTAAACCTGGTACCAGTGCCTTCTGCAGGGAACAGATTTAAGTGTTTTAGTTCACAAAAATCTAATACCTCGAGAAAGTGGCAATCTTTCTGTGACTCAGTTTCTTCATTTGAGAAACAAAGGTTATAAAAATACCTACCTTGAAGGGTCTTTGTGAGAATAAGAGATTTGTATGTCAAACACTCAGGACTATGCTGGATATACAGGAAGTACTCAACAGTGACATTTGTTGATTTCATCTCCTTTTCATTAACTTGAGGAATTCTAAAGGTCCTGGTATCCTTGCTATCCTATGTTTGTATCATTCCAATTATCTCACATAGTCAAAAGACTTGTAACCTTGGCTCAATTCTCATTTCAGCCAACACAAAACAATAACAACAACAAAAACATCCTGAAATATACTCTTCCCCTTCAGATACTCCATGATACCATTATCAATTCTGTACAAATCTGTTGAATCCAGATTCAACTCAATAGTTATTGTAACTATGACATTTGTTGATTTCATCTCCTTTTCATTAACTTGAGGAATTCTAAAGGTCCTGGTATCCTTGCTATCCTATGTTTGTATCATTCCAATTATCTCACATAGTCAAAAGACTTGTAACCTTGGCTCAATTCTCATTTCAGCCAACACAAAACAATAACAACAACAAAAACATCCTGAAATATACTCTTCCCCTTCAGATACTCCATGATACCATTATCAATTCTGTACAAATCTGTTGAATCCAGATTCAACTCATAGTTATTGTAACTATGGACCTTACTCAAAATGTTCCAGTTGTACAATAATTACTGAAATCCTCTCAGGTCTACAATTCCAAGACTATGGATTTTACACTTTCCTCAAATGAACTGCAATGTGCTTCAGAAATCTACTTTCTGGCCTCCTAATTTTTTGGTTTCTCTCTTTTACAGTGCTGTGAGGGGACTTGGCAGATATCATTAGGTTGGCCTGTGACACAAGGTTCTGAAAGTGAGTGAGGGTGGCAATTGAGGTCTTAATTCTCAGTGGTCATCATCCTGGGTATCAGAGACTCTTTGTCCCAAATGTCAACCTCATAGATCCTGTCTCCACTGCAGTGTTGAGTATTTTCATGTCTCACATTTATTCACCTGCCCTAGCACATCCTTTTGTCTGGGGCATGTGATTTTTTTCCCTCTAGCTTTCAAGTCCATTTATAATTCAGTGAAGAAACAGCATTAAAACTAATTTACACATGAACTCTCACCCTTACACTGCTTAATTAATTCTCTCAAAGAAAGCTTAGGTATAGGAAAGAAGTTATTGAACTACAAAGCTGAATTTTCAATTCTGCTGAAATGGGATGACTCAACATTTTTGGATAATGATCTGAAAATGTGATCATTAGAGGAGAAAATTCAAACTTGCTAAGGATTAGAGTATTTAAGTCAGGGGATGCATTTCATGTGTGCTGGTCAAAGTAATAGCTACTCAGGTTAACAGATAACTCCCTATGCCCAAATAATCACACAGGAATTACAAGGAAATTACCAGGGTAAAAGATAGATGCTTATACCCCACATAGGCAATGAGCTTAGCTGGTAGAAAATTTTATTCCAGTTACAGATTCAAATCAATCACTTGAAAGTCAGTGAAATTTATGTTTATTAATATAATTCTCAATAACTCTCATTTATTTAATACCTATAGATATGCTAGGCAAAAAGCAGATAAATGACAAATGCTTACAAATAAATGAAAAGCAAAGTTGAATCAAATGTTTTTATTCTAAGTCCAGCTAATTGAACCACCAGAATTCAGTACCCTCAAATCCAACCCTATGTCTGGGAAAAAAGGAAGCAAACTAAGTATTTATTTTATCAATGTCTTATTTATGGAAGGCTGCTTGCTATATTATCTTAGCTCTGAAAGAGGCTCATTAAGGGTCCACAGAACCACTGATCCAAATAGTCTTAACAATGTAGAGAATGTGCAGAACATAGTTATCAATGGTACCAACTGGATGTACCTTTCATCATTAGTTGTTTTTGGAGTCCATGTGAGTATTTGCATATGTTTTCCTGTATTCAAATGTCTAGCTCAGTTGCATCAATAACTGAATAACTGGCTCCTATAGAGTGTGAGTGATGCTAAACAACTGGAACCACCAGTGCTCAACAGTGCTCAACAGTGACATTTGTTGACAACCAAGAGTTATCAGGATACTTTGGAGACCCTAAGTAGGCAAACTGCTGTAGAGTCTTTCAAAAGCTATTGACTACCATAAAATAGAGATACCTGCACACTCACGTCTGTAGCAGCTCTATTCACAATAGCCAAATTATAGAATCAGCCTATGTGCCAATCAATAGATGAAAGGACAAAGAAAATGGAGTATGTATACACAATGGAGTATTATTCTTCCACAGAAAAGAACAAATATGTGCCATCTGCAGAAAAATAGATAGAACTGGAGATTATCATGCTAAACAAAATAAAGTCAGACTCAGAAAAAAAATACTGTATGTTTTCTCTTATTAGTGAAATATACATTTTTTAAAGGATACAAAATGAGGACTATTTGAGAAGAGAAAGGGAGACCAGTGGGAGGGAGAACAAGAGAGGATAATGAGTCAGTGAGTACGATCAAGTAAATATGTTCTAAGTACATTACACGCAAGTATTAGTGAAGCCCATTAAAATGCATAAGAAAAGGAAAACACATGAAAAAACTTTTGATTCTATTGCTCCAACAGCTCAAATGTGTGATTTTCAAACCTGTGATTCTTGAGTCTTATCACACTGGAACTTCACAAACTTTAAAATCATGAAAATTTTAAGTAATTACTTTTTTACTATCTTGCCTCACATCTCCTTAGCTTAGGGAAATCTTTCTTGTTTCATTCTTCATTGAAATAATAATAAATAGGACAGATAAGGTAGCTTCTTTGGTCACTTTATAACTGATGCTCACTGATTCTTCTTCTTTTTCAGGAGTTAACATGTAATTGGTTCTGACTAAGTAGTTTTGCCAAAGCTGTTTTTAACATTCTCCAACTGGGTTGTGTCCCCATTTCCTGACATGCATCTATCAGATGTTTTATTTTACTTTTTACTCTTCTTATGCTGTCTGTACCTACAGAACAGCATGTTGATTTCTGGCCCAGGGCTGGCTCTCATTCATTTCCAGTGAATGCATTCCTATTTCATTGCCTTTGTACTATTCTCTTCCTACTCAGAATGACTTTTTTTAATACCTTCTCTTTTTCTTCTTTCACAGACAGACTAGTCATGCTTAAGAATCATCAGTTACTTCTTTGGAAGACTTCTTTGAAATTACTCCAAACACTCAATGCCCTGTTCTTAATTTCACCAAAATCACAGTCAGTGCCATATATCCCTCCACAAGCAGTTAGTATCTGAATTGTTACCAGTCACATTCATCCCTCAATTGTACCTCAGTTGTTTTGAAGCAAGTCACCACCAAGTTTGGTATACTTCTCTTCTCTCTCCCTCAGACACAACTGAATATATTCAGCCATTAACCATTACTGATCAACTTGACCCAGTCAGGTTTCCATGTTCTAAAATATAAAACTTGAACTCATGGCCTTCACCTTGAGTCGCTCCACCTGCTTAATTTTTTGTGATAGGTTTTTTGAGATAGAGTCTTGCAAACTATTTGTCCAGGCTGGCTTTGAATCATGATCCTCCTGATCTCTGTCTCCTGAGTAGCTAGGATAACAGGTGTGAGCCTGTTAAAACTCTTGATGGTACAATTTTTTCTGATGACCTGTGGAGCGCATCACAGAAACCTTGATATATAAAATGTGGCTTTAGAGCTGAGATACATTGATAGTTTCTTACATGGATTAAAAACTGGAAACCAGTGTAGAATTCATTCTTGTAGGGAACAGTGTCAAATTCACTGCATTGCATCTGCCGAAACGTTGGTGTATCTGTGCGACAGGGGTGGACGTTGCACAAGCGGTAGCGTTTTCTTTCTCCAGTGCAGTATTTTCCTCCAAACTTTGGTCTACAAAGGAAACAGACAGACTGTTCTTTTAGCTCCCCGAAAGTCCAACATTTTTCCTTTAAAACTCCCCTGGCATCTGGCCATGCTTGTTTCTTGCCAAATCATGTCTCTCTCTGCACTAAACCTTACCTTTTATGGTGCACACCTATGATCCCAGCACTCTGGAGGCTGAGACAGGAGGATCGTGAGTTCAAGGCCAGCCTGGTCTACAGAGTGAGACAAAACTGTCTCAAATAACAAAACACCTTCTGAATTAATTCATTCAGTTTCACATATTTTTTTGGTTTGTTTCTTACCACCATTTCAGCTCTACATATACAGTTGTCTATTTTTAAATAGTTTGTTTATCTTTCCCACCTGCATATTCTCCAAGAAAAATAAATACTGAAAAGAAATATATCCTTTTCCTCCCCAAATCTATTCCTTCCCTGAATACTAGTTAGCAGTTTAACAGTGTCCAGATTTCAGAAACATCCTTTGCCTTCCTGGTACCCATAGTCAGTCACCTGGTCATCAGATGGGTTTTTATATTGCTTTCTTCTCCTCAATCCCATAGTTACCAAACAAGTCCAACCCCAGTTTCCATTCCTCTCTTTCCTTTGCCCACTTTTTCTTCATCTAATCCACCGTGCGCAGTTATCTGCATAAGTTTTAGATCATCTTAATTACTTATCGTTTAAAAAACTTTAATGGCACCCAGTAGCCAAGAATTAAGTCCAACCTTGAGCTTGGTGCTCCAGGCCTTCATAGTCCTGCCTGAACTCATGTTAACAACTTTACTTTCCACTCCAGGGGTACAAGTCTCCTTATTTACTCTTGCTTTTCTAATGCCTCTGGATAGACTTCCTTTCTCTTAAGTTTTTACATGTCTATGTACTTTAAGGACCAAGTAAACGCTACCTCCATCGTCAATCCTTGCTGACTTCCAACAGGAAGTCATCTCTTTCTCCTCTGAAATGACACTTCATGCATCACTTTATGCACTTCCTGAACTTATTTTTGGAGATAGTTCTTTGCTGATTTAATCCAACTTCTACATCCTCTCTGGTGCCTAAGCAGTACTTTGAGTATAGAAAGGCCTTATATTCAAAAGGTAAGTGAATTAATCTTTTTTTAAAAACACTCTCATCTTTTGTAATACAGGTGAGGGAGTAAGAATCTCCTCATTGGGATCATTTAAAGGGAAGAAGGGAGTATAGTGGAATTGTTCTCAGAAAAGTGGTGACCTATGTATTCTTTGAAAAGACTCCCAGGCAATCCACATGTGCCTTCTTGCCTCCATCTTGCTGAATCTGAATGAGAGATTGTGACTGTTATTGCAGAATAGAATAATGGGGTCAAAGACTGAAGCTTGAATCCAGATTTACATTTTAGTAATTAGATGACTCTGAAAAAGTTATCTTATTTCTCCGAACTGCAGTTGTCTGATTTGTGAAATGAGCATAATTTTTACCTTCTGTATTTTAAGAGTTGTATGAGACAATGCACAAAAATCTCAGAGTAGCTATTGCAGAGTAAGAACTTGATAATGATCACATTTGTGGTTACTGTGATAATAATCAGCCAGCATAAATATACTACTATGTGTTCAACACCATATTCCAGAGGGAAGAGAGTACAAAAATAAGGTCAATCCATGTATTATGCTGTCTTGAAGTTTATAAACTCATCAAGATGATGAGTATACACATTACAAAGCAAGTTTAAGATAGCAACTATGTATCCCTAAGTGTGAGTACAATGAGGGTTTGGGGAAGAAAGCCAAAGAAGTCAGGATGTTTGGGAAAGGTTTCAAGGACATGATGCTACTAGAGAATAGTCTCAGGACAAAGGCAAAAAGTACACTGAGTGGGAAGTACAGATGAATCATATGCTAAAAACACAGAAAACTAGCACATCTTCCTAAAGTGCCCAGCCAGTAGTAGCAGAGCTAAGGTTTGAGGCATGTGCCTTAAATCCTCGCCTGAGCTTTTATCCATTGTGTTGTACTGGCTTACCACGCAGCTCTGTGAAGCAGAGACCTGGAATTTTGGTAGTCTAGTTAAGTTCTTGCGGGTATAAATCTTTTGCGGCCTTGCTGTACTTTGGTGTTTGTAAATGTTCACGAGATTTTACACACCTTCCTCCCCACCTTTCTCAATATCACCTGAGTAGACTTACGTTTTTTGCACAAAAAAAGAGTTTTGACAAAGGCAGTTTACACAGCAGGCTCTTTGTTCATTGACTTCCTATAGAAGGTACTATGATGTGTCCTTGATATCTGAGTTTATGTTGGTTTTGTACTTACAGTGATGAAGTGACACTCTGTGACTTGGACCCTCTCCAACTCATTTCCATCCTCTTATGAGCCAAATCCTCAGGTTCTCACTAGTCCTACAGTTCATCTCATTTGACCAATGTCAAGGATAAAGTCTTAATGTAGCAGGGAAGAGGGCCAGAAGAGGAACAGACAGGCTGTGTTCTGATATTGAGGCAGAGGGAAAGGATGGCAAAGAGAGAGATAAAACTTAAAGAATTAAGACATGAAGAAGGTCACATAGCACTGGGAAAATAAAATAGCCAATGAAGTCACATGCAGCCATGTGTGGGTTGAGCTTTGCTTTTTGCTTGTATAACCTGTTTGCAAGGATGTATACAGTGAGACCTCTTTGTTCTTGGGGCTCAGCCTTTGGACACAAGTCCGCTGGGTCTGTGCTGGCACCATAAAACTTTGCTTTCTGCTAAACTGCCTCAGTGTCCCATATCTCAGCTCAAGAGTCCCGTGACATTTCTTGGGGATTAGTCTGGGATTACAGAGATGGTGATTTGTCACCTCCCTTGTCACCGGGGAGCACCCCCCAAACTGCAAGGAGAAGATCCCACCAGGTGCCAACGGACAGCTTGATCCAGAGAGGGATTCATTCTCCCGGTGAGTATGGATGAAGGCCTCAGATGCACAACAGTATCCAGTGAAGCTCAGGAACCAACTTGGAAGCACCATTCACTAAATTGGTAAGAACCTGGGTTCAAATTCAGGTCTGTCCCAGGAGGCAGAAGGGGAGACTGATCACCTCCTAGAGACTGCTAGCAACTGCCTTTTGGAGTGAAGATGTATCTCTCAGGTTCAGGGAGCAGGGCAAAAGTATATGCTATGCAAAAGTGTGTAGGATACCTCCAAGAGTTAATGGGGGGTTGTGCTTTTCCTGAGAAATAGTCACAACTGAGGTTAAGGGATGGATAACAAAAAATTCAGTTCCAAAGGGGGAGTCTCCCAAAGAACAGATGTATCATCAACCATTCCACCAGATAGCCCTCTGTTATAATTTAAACATTTTTTCTTTTTTTGAGAGTGCACTCTAAGCGTGTGTGTGTGTGTGTGTGTGTGTGTGTGTGTATGAATTTGTTTAAAGCACTGAACAATTTAATTTGCTCCTCTTATGCATGCTTAAGTTGATTTTTTTTCCTAGAGTACTTAATTTATAAAACTTTTATGTGTGTATGTATATGTAAGCATCTTCAAAATGGTTCTTAAACTGCTGTTATAAGGTTAATGTAATATTCAGGGTAATCAAAAACCAGGGTGTTTGTTTTAAATATCTCTGTTACAAACTGCTTAAGCTTTTTACATTTAAACATGTAAACATCTTGAGGATGGTTTTTATTATAAAGTAAATGTAAAAAAATTACTACTTTGTTCTACTGCTACTTCAAAAAAAACACATATTTTCAAACTTATTTCAATCAGTTCTCATTAGGACACAGGCATTCAGGGGTTAACACTCTGGCTTAGACCAGAGGGGGAAAAAAAGAAAGAAAGAGGGGCCATAACGTGCAATAGGAATCTTAAAATTTGGATTGTTAAAAATGACCTTAGCCTGTTTCATTCTGTCATAAATAAAATGTGGGATTTAATTCTCTCTTATAAAACATGGGTCTATTAACAAATGGGCTTTCTATAAATTGTTTTTATACAAAAAATAATTTAAAAGTTGCTTTCTCTCTGTTTTTTTCCATACAAATATAAGGTTCTAAGCTAAAAGGTTTTAAGTTTTCAACAAGCAACATATATATAATATATAATATGATATTAAAAATATGGTTTTTAAGAATAAAAGGTTAAAAACACTTTTAAATAAAAAAAGATAAAGACAAGCTCACTCAGGGGATACAAAATAACTTGTCATAAAGATACAGAGTAAGTTGTTATAAAAAGATATAGCTTAAAAATGCTTATGTAAGTGATTGAGTTAATTAAAATCCAGTTACATTAAAGGTTTTGTTAGGTCAAAATTTAATGTACTGATACTAAACTAAAACTTAATTCTCTAAACTCATAACAAGACTATCTTAAAAATAATGTTCTTAATAACATTTACAAAAACTGTCTTAAAATGGTTTTTTGTTTTGTCAAGATAACTGTCAAAAATTTTTGATGCTACAGGTTACTTTACAAATTTAACAAAACAACAAGAGTTTATTAAAACACAGAAGAGCAAGGAACAACTGACCACAGGGAGTACTGTTGCACTGATATAAGGGTTGAGAAAAATTTACTTATATAAAGCAAAAAAAAAAAAAAACTAAGCCAAAGTATACCTCCAGATAGGATAAAAAATAAAAACTCAAAAGAAGCACTACACTGGAGATCAAGACGTCCAGTTTTTATTGGAGTCAACAGAGTAGAGATGTTAGTCCTACTCCTTTCACATGGCAGGCGGAGGGAATTTTTGGCCTGGGATGACCAGATTGGTGCTGTTATTTTAGGGGGACTCCATTGACTACAGATTGATGGGATCCTGCTGTATGTCATTAGCCATCTGTTAATGTCAACATTCTGGGATATGATCCTTTATCAATACCTGAGCCATGATTCTTGGCCATTAGGTTTCCTAACTCCATACTTAGTCCACATAAATGTTTACCTGTTTTCTCTGATGATATTTGTCAGGATTTCAACTACTAAGGTAACTGAGTCATGTACATTAAAGTGTTTGTTTATGTTGGGGTTAACAATGAGGACAGCCATGTTAAGACCAGAACCCCTCCTCCGCTTGCAGATGGCTTACTAGAAACTTCCCGTTCAACCACAAAGACTGACAAAGAGACAATTATTAACCTTTATCTCCCTGGTTGGATGCCAGGGACAGTTGGGCAGAGAGTGACCTAACTACAACATCTTTCTTGGTTGCCCAGCAACAGTATCCCTTAGTGACCTTCTTGGTACTTTTCCACTAGCCCCCTATATCTAGCCCAAGCCTGTGTATGGCAATGGGCTCTAGCTCTCTTGCTGGGGTCGCTGTCCACAGGGCTCCTACCTAAACAATAAACCATGTACTGGTGTTTGAGTCATCTCTCTGCCTCTTCCATATCTCTTATTTTCTAAGTTTATATAAAATTTTCTAGATGACCTCATGGTTAAACAACTGTTGTCTTGGGTGATTCTAATACAGTCGGAACCCTATATGTGTCTGTGACTGGGCTATTTGAGTTTACTAAAATTGTTCTTACCCCCTACAACTGATAAACATCTAAGGTTTTACTTCAAGAACAAAACTAAACTAATATGTATATATAACCTCTATAGAGCTATGATGCTATTACCCGTTCCTTATACTAAATACACTTATGTTTTTCAAGCCTTCTAAAATACAAAATATACATAAACACGGTAACAAAAAGTTAGTGGTACTGATATACTATTCTGTTAATTGCTAAATTGTGCATCAAAATTTTAACCATGGCTCTTTTAAGTTTTGTCATTACAGTTCTGATCCTTCTGGGGCATTTGCAATCAAGTTCATAAAAAATGACTCTAATAAGTGCTAATGTGTCAACCAGGTTAGCATTTTAGACAACTGCTTTTGTTGGATTTCATTTTGTATTGTCCTTATCTAAAAGCCCATTGCCTAAGGGCCACTCTTTCTAAGCCTCTTGTTGCTTAAATCTGGGCAAAAAGGTCTAGTTGACACTGACTCCCACTTGATCTGCTCATTATTTCCCCTCTGACATGGGACCAAAACAAACCAAACAAACAAAATCCAAGAAAGAGCAAATTCTCATGATGAAGAAAGAAAATGACCAATCATGAAAGATCTTCAGTCTACAACCATACCACCCTAATGTGCCCAATTTCATCTGGTCTCAAAAGCTAAGCAAGGTCAGGCCTGATTAGTACCTGGACTGGAGACAAATTTTTGACAGAGAATGCTCAGAGACAAACAGTTTGGAGACAGGGGGGGAAGGCCATCAAGTTCAAATGGAGTCACTCATGCCAGAACTCTCAAAAATAGGCATGGCCAAGAGGACTGAGGAAGTGGTTCTTATACATATGTAGCCATCTGGCATTAAAGCCCTTCCAGATACAAAGTCATATTTTTAGATTAGATAGGGTATTCTACTTAGAGACAAAATGACTATTGTTACTGGCTCTAAACATGTCCCTTGATACTTAAAGATGGTAGTTTTAACTTTTTAAAATAATGAGTTTTCTTGGACATATATACTGATAGCATATTGTTGCCATGGCAATTCTATTCAATTAAAAAAAAACCAAAAGATACTGTCTGGGTAAAAGAATAAAATATCCAACCATAATAACCCCATTAGAGGGTCCCTTTTGTTGTCTTGTCTATCCCCACTACAGTTAAAGTAACAAAAACTGCTCCCTGGATCCACCACAGCCAACTAAAGCCAGCTTCTCCCAAGTGGGACTGCATCCCTGACTCAGCCTCATCATCCAAGATCTCCCTTCAGAACACCTGTGCTCTTCCTAGGCAGGACTCCACTTCCCAGGAGACAACAGGGGACCACAAACAACAGGACGACAGCCCTGCTCTCATCACTCTGAAAGCTGACTATTCTACACGAGGAGGAAGCTCAAACATGGGATGCACCCCTGTTCTCTACACACTTGGACTCTTACCTTTTGGGTTGGCCCATGCAAGGTTTTTCCCATGTACTAAATGTTATAAAAGAGCCATTGCTGGGACCTCCACACAGCCATACTTTATATCATGGACCCACCAACAGGTCAGATGTTAAATCAGCTCATACACTCCCAGATATGATAAATGATACTAAATATCATTATTTAGTAGGTTACTGATAAATGATAGTAAAAGTCCCAAAGTAAAGAAAACAATACAGACTACATTTGTCATAAAAGTGGGGTGATCAGTCTTATCCTGGGAGCATGCTTAATATTACCCTGCCTGGTCCCCTGATATTGTGGTCTATCAGGACCCTTACAGAGGCCACTATATAAAAAACAAACAAACAAAAAAACCAGCCGTCCATATAATGATGCTATAAAAATACAAGCCCCTAGATCAAGGTGATGCTCTTTGACCCTAGGTGGGTCTGAGCATCAAAGGGGGGATGATGTAGCAGGGAGGAGGGCCAGAAGAGAAAAGGCTGTGTTCTGATAATGAGGCAGGGAGAAGGAATGGCAAAGCCAAGAGATAAAATTTTTAAGAATTAAAACGTGATGAAGGTCACATAGCACTGGGAAAGTAAAATAGCCAATGAAGTCACATTCAGCCATGTGTGGGTTGAGCTTTGCTTTTTGCCTCTGTAACCTGCTTGCAAGGGTATATAAGGTGAGACCCCTTTGTTCTCGGGGCTCAGCCTTTGGACACGAGTCTGCTGGGTCTGTGCCACACAATAAAACACTGCTTCCTGCTGAACTGCTTCAGTGTCCCTTATCTCAGCTTGAGAGTCTCATAACATTAAGAGTAGGAAAATTTTCCAGGGAAGAAAAATATTTTTATAAAATTGTATGCTCATTATAACTGAAAGAAAGCTACAATCTTACCGTCATCAGTGGGTGTACGTAGCTGATACACTGTCCTGAACCTACAACTGCAATCACCAAGCCCAAGATATTATTATGTTCCCATTGGCAGCATTCAGAATGAAGTTAAGCAAGCCAGCCCTACAGGTTTGATGTGTTCACTCACCCAAGGAGACTGAGAAATTGTGGCTTGGAGATGGGAGTTAGGAGCATCTGTCCCCTGAAGCCTAGTCAGATAGTCATTCTAGTTCTTCAACTAGATAACCACAGGTCATTGACCATCCTCCCTGACCATTCCTCCTCTGGGAATGGTGAGGGCTGAACACACAGTACCAATAATCAGTCTCAGAGCAAATTACCTGTGTCTGATCTCTAAGATGGATGTCACACTTCCCACCAAATTGAAGCAAAGTACAAAATAAAAGTTTTCTCTAAAAATACTTTATAACAAATTTCTGTTGTTGAAATTTTGAACTCATAGACTTTTGTCAAAGGGTAAAATTTTAAAATAATCATGTCAGGGTTTCTCAAATGCATTCTTATATGGGTACTAAGTGATAAAAATATAATAAGTATCATTATCAAATACCATAATATCAACTAGCATCTAAGTATCAAAAATTTTAAATAATTTGTAAGGTAATGGATACTTTGTTAAACTCTATAGCTATTAACTAGTTAATCCTTAGAAAAATATATTTTATATACAGTATATAGTGTATACATTATATATATAACATGCACATATGTACATTTACCTTTAGCAATGTATTTATAATTAAAATGGAGACATAGGGTTTGAACTACAATACTGAGGGAACTATCACCTGCTTTTATCACTTGTCTTTTAAAAATGTGCTTTTTATTCTTCAAGGCAAAGTCAAATTTAGGTAAAAGCAGCTTACTACATTTTTCACTTCTGGGAAGCATCACATGCACACTTTTTAAAAGTGCATTTGGGAACTAGTACATCAGGAAGCAGTGATATATATTTATCACTCCAAATTTCCCAATATGTGTGTGTGTGTGTGTGTGTGTGTGTGTAAAACAAGCGAATTTGAAGTTAATTAATATATGATACCATTATATAAGTTTAATATCTGAAAAAATTAAGCAATTTGATTTTAAAATAAAAAACTACATGTGAAGTAACTTGTGTGGTATCCCCAATGGGCTACTATGAAACTCCAACATTTACAAAATCTTTTTCTAGAATATCGAGAATAATTATCTTCAAAAATGTGCTTAGCAAGTTTACTCATTACCTAAGGGAAGAATGTTTTATAAATTTGTACATTCATTATGATTGGAAGATAGCTACAATCTTATCAACAAAATTAGGTATAATTAATCTCATATTGATAAGGAGGAGTTATCTAGAAGGATTAAATTGCATAAGCTCCTAGAGGATTTCACATTTAAAAGAAATGTGCTGTTTCCCCAAATGAAGGAATGGACTTATCTCAGTATTATTAAGGAAATCCAGTGCACACCAAGACAAAACAAACAAAACAGATATACTTTATTTTTTTCACCCTCTGTGAACCTCTGGTTCCTTTTCTTCTTGGGAACCAATTTAACTTCACTAAGAATACTTGGGGTCCCTGAGGGCATGTGGTTCAAGATTGATCTCTTAGCACTGTGGAATGAAAGGAAGGAAATATCCATGACCAGGCTTACTCAGGGTTGTTGCAGAGCCTCTCTGCACTCTGAGCTCCAGCTCCACAGGTTCTGGAACAGTGGGACCAAGGTGACCAGCGGCCCCAGCCTCCAGGGATGCTTTCTGGTTTCTTCCCCACTGTGATACACTTGCCCGCCATACACCACTGCAAAGGGAAGAGGCAGGAGATAGAGACACATGTGTCAGGAAGGTCCCCCTGCAAGCTGAGCCAAGAATACCTCTTGAGAAAGCCAACTCCCAAAAGTCATACATCAGATGCAAAACAAAGAAAGGCTTATAAAAAGAATTTCCCTTGAGAGCCTTGACTTTTAAAAACAGAGGGTTTCTGGAACGGGAGAGAACTTTACAGTGCCTAGTTACAGTCATCGCAGAAGCTACTCAAAGCCTTGTTGGTAGATGGCTTGCTAGAATGTAAATCAACACACCCCTCCTTCATGAAGAAAATCTTACGTCGACTTAGTATACTGAGCAACATCCTAGTCTAGTTGATTGACTTTCTGGTGCAAGATCCTTATCTTGTTTTAGACTATACTAGCTCAGGACTGACACTATGAGTAACACTTCTTAACAGCTTTTATAGGACTTTATGCCTACAATGGAGAACTGACTCAAAATGTCCACTTCATTTCCAAAAGCATTAGTGGTTAGGAAATTCTCTCTTACATCAAGAAAAAGTTCTGTTTTCCCGTAAATCTGCCTATTTTGTTTTTGCACTTATAGCTTTTCAAGTGACTTACAAAAATCTACTCTCTCACTCTTCAAGGCAATCCTTCCACAGTTATCAGTTTAGGAGGGTGAACATACAAAAATGACAACAAAAGGAAATGTAACTTGGCTGTTGGAAATAGCCACATTTCCTGGATGATTTGGGCATGTTTTATCTGCTGGACTCCCCACCCCACGAGTACTTCTGGTCTCTGTGCATTGTGACCAGGTTTTATCATTTCAGGGATGGGTCATGCCACATTCAAGCTACATAGAGATGCCTGCTAAACTCCTAAGCCCCAGCTCCACAATGAACCCAGCTGGCTTATTCGATCAGCGTGAATTGCCCTGCTCTCTGGCTTCTAGAGGATATCTATCTAACTTGTCTGAATCTTTGGGAGTATGACTTTCCTGCTTAGTACAGTGGGCAGAACTTTAAGAAATGTAGTCACATCTGATAGTGAGAAAGAAGATAATTGGTCTAAATCTGACATTTTTTGGAAAGAAATAACTACTGGCTTGTCCTTTCCAATTTTCAATATGGAAGGGCAAATGTCAAAATGAGGGTGGATAATATGCTCAGCAGATGTTGACAGAAGTCCCATAGATGTTCTAAGGGAAGGATGGGACAGATGTTTTATGGGTAAAGCATAGAATTAGACTTAGCCCTCTGTCCTTGACTACTTGCTCCCAGTGAAGGCTCAAAGGGCACAGTAGAAACGGAATCCTTTCTTCTAGCTGATTTGACTGGATGAGCTCCATTTACCACTCTTCGCCCCCCACACCCCCTGGAGCCTCTTTAGCCCTTCCCAATAATTCTAGGCCTGCCACCCTCCCACCTTCCTTCCTTAGCCACATGTCACCTTCTTCTCACCACATTGGGTCCCATCTGCAGCAGCATCAAGTTTGGAGCGACAATAGCCCTTCACTGAGCACCACAGTGTCTGGCAAACGTTCTGGAAAATGAATGTGAGATGGTGTTCTTTTATATTTTCAAAACTTGCACACAAGTATTTCTACAGTTATGGTAAAACAAACACACTCACCCCACATTCACAATAAATGCTGTTATTAGTGAAAAAGAGCAATCATTAGAGTTCTCAGTTCAAGATCTACTTGGTCATTGTCATCATTCATAAATAATGGTTTATAGGCCATACCAAGCAATATGAAAATGAGATAAAACCCATTTCTTGAGAGTTAAGTCTGTCATTTCTGCATGTGTGGGACAATAACCAGCATTCAATTTCCCTGGGCAGAGTAACTGATGCATTATCTGACAAAGACAAATCAAACTTTGGCTGAAAGGCAATCTGATTACAAACAGCTGGGGTGGTTATACCTTGAGCCTACTCAATGAAGGAAATGGAAACTTTTCCACCCAGAAAGCTTCAGTTATTTACTTATTACACAAAGTAATCAGCTTGACTCAATTCCTGGGAGGGAACTGCATATTCTCTGTTATTTCTACTCCTATGGGAACAGAGAAAGATTGACAGAATGTTCATATGTCATCTGAAATGGCTTACTACTTCTATTCCTCCTACCTACCCATCTTCTACCATTCTATTTACTTACTATAATCTACATTGAATGAGTTTTTTCATCATAAGATTTCAGATTTTAAACAATTTTAGAAAATTCTCAGTCTATATCTAAATTTTGCCTCTCCATTCTCTCTGGAACCCATAATTATTGTTGATGAACCGTCCCATCCTGTCCTTCATGTTTCAATTTCACCTTTGTATTTTCTACCTCTTGATTTGCTTGTATGTGGAGGGTGAAAATTTTCCTCCTCCATCACATACCCAAGAGACATTCAATGAGATGGGAAGTAATAAGTTCCAGTTAATTGATTTTTCTCTTCAGACGAATCAAGTGTACCATTCAATCCATTTCTTGACTTTTAAAGTCAATGAGCATGTTTTTCATTCCTAGAAATTATATTCACTCTTCTTCATATCTGCCTTATATATGTTATATTTCTTTTTCATATAAATATTCTTTTATGTATTTAATTTATTGTTACCATATAAATTCAACTATCAAAAGTTCTTAAGAGGGTTAGTGACTCTCCTCACTTAGCTGAAGATAAATTTTTAATTAGAGGCTGAATTGTGAATTTATGTGAATTTATGTGCTTTATCTATTAGAGTTTTGTGCATCCTTGCTTGAGTATTAGTTACTCCAGGGCAGTTCCACATTTATTCCCAGGTACTCCAGTGTTTCCAGATCAAATGTTGTATGCTTTCGTTTTTTGTCATGAGGGCAGTCCAACTTTATAGCGTAGAAGTTTGAACTCTAAGGCAGCATGAGGCTGCAGTAAAGAATTTTCAAGTGAGTTATCCACCAGCACTCCTTCCTCTTTCTCTCTAGAAGCCAGGCTGAGATAAAAAGACCTTTCTTTGTCATCACTCTTTGCTGTTTTTGGCAGATTCCTTCTAGTCCATCATTTCATTGGTGGACAGCTCTTTGAGAATCCCAGACTTACGTAGTGTTCTTAGTGCTAAGTCCTGGCCCAATTCAGGGTGAACCTGCCAATGTGTGTTCCCATTTGGACATTAAAACCCAAGCCTTTTGTTAATCACTGTGTCAATCTTAACTTCTGTCCATGCTCACCACTCTGCCTTTTAATTCTTCTTTCCTACTCTTTCTTTTTCTTGTAAGTTCATTATGCATTTATAGAGCATGTGCTGGGTGAAAGGTACAAAGCAAATTCTTTGGAGTTTAAGCTATTTCAAAATAAAAGGCATAAAGATGTTTATTTTCAGTTATTTTTAATTTTGAAATGATTAGATTATATTGGCTGCCATATAAAAGGATCAAATGTCTTCATTAGTTTATCTGTTGAAAAGCTATTATGTACCTCACACTGTCAGTGGTGTCAGGGATAGAAATTTCCTTAGATAGGTACAATATAATAGAGGAAGACAGAGATAAGTAAACACAAAATTCTAATAAGTCTAATAAAGGCTCTTTCAAAGAAAACACAGAATAGAATGTGAAGTGATATTTAAGCTAAAACCCAAATGACAAATAGGAAGGACAACACAGAGGAGGCAAAACATGCAAAATTCCAGAGAATGGAGGTTGTTTAGCATGGATCATCATAGAGTATAAAAGAGGAACTGACCAGAGATAGGTATAGCAATTCGCATTTTTTTTTTTTGCAGTGCTGGGGCTTGAACTCAGGGCACTCTATAATTTTAGCCACTTCACCAGCCCTGCTTTGTGTTGAGTATTTTTGAGATAGGGTCTCATGAACTATTTGCCTGGGCAGGCTTGTGCATACATATATACATATAAGTATAAGTAAACATACATACATACACACACGTGTATACATATATGTAGGTATATATGCATATACACCATTGCAGATTTCCATATAAGGCCAGACCCAAAGGGATAAACTAAAAATGTCTGGGTACACAAACTTGGCTGTGTTGGCCTTAACTCAAGAATGGGTAAGCTGTTACCTCTGAGAGTGTATACCCACTTTGGTCCTAATATGGCTCATACAACACAACATTAAACCAATAACTTACTTTAAACTTACTCAGAGATTGCAATGAAAATTCTCTCTGAAAGAATATGCCAGCCATCTAAGGCCTAGAGACAATCTGACATAAAGTTTCAAAACCAAGATCTTAAAATAGCAGCAATATTTGCAGAAGGAAATTGTGTGTGAGAGCCCAAAGAAATCTCAAAGAGAAGAAATAGACCCACATAGACTCTGGGCATTGGAATTTTCCAATCTTAATTGCAAAAAAAAAGCATCATGTATGATTAAATAAATAAAGGATCATATTGAAAGTACGACTTACGAATAAGAGGTCATTATGTGAGAGAAAACTTAGAAAAATAACCAATAGACAGTAAGAATTTAAAAAAAATATAATAAATGAGATTTAGAAGTTAATACATAAGTCAGATGAAACAGTAGCCATTTAAAGTGAGAACTAATCATTAGAAGATAAAAGTAACTAGAAGATGATGAATATGAAAAATAGTTTCCAAAATAAGGAAGATAGTGCACAGAGTATTGGCTTCAAGAGTGAAGGGTTAAGACAATATTTTAAGAGATAAAGCCAGAGAGTGAGAGACAGCATGAATTCCAAGCACATTTTTTAAGCTATTTCAGAGAATTTGAACTTTATACTAAGGGAATTGGAAGGCTGTGAAGTGTTTTAATCAGAGGGACATACGATCAAATTTCCAATTATGAAGGTCTGCTTGCTACATTTAGGGAAGTGAATCAGAGGTGGGGGGAGGCAATCAGCTTTATCAGTTTTAGGAAAGGAGACCAGCAAGGACTTACTGCTGTCATCTAGGAATGGATGGAGTTTAGAGAAATTTACAAGGCAGAATTGGAGTAATTTGGTAAATAGTAAGAAGAAATGGGTAACAGATTTTTGCACCAACTTTACCTTCTCTGTTCAGTTTTGTTTGTTTTGTGTAAGCCCAGTTACTTACTTCCTCCTTTAAGTTCTATGTATTTCTTATATTTACTTCATTATGGTTAAATTTTTATAACTGCCTTTTCCTATCATGAGCTCCTTGGGGACAGAGACTTTATCTTATTAATTTTTTGAGTGCTCATTTTTTTCAGCTGATTCGGTCCATAGAATGGAATCTGTCAGGGATTCAGTGAGATGTGACTTATCAATATCTGTGTTAACACAGAGTTTTGCATTAAAAGGGGTAAGTGTAGAGAATAAACAGGGTTCAAATTGCATTTGGGACTTTTTTTTGTTAATTTTTTTAGCTGTACTGGTGTTTGAACTCAGGTGTTTGTGAAGCAGGCGCTTTACCACTTGAGGCACACCTCCAGTCCCTTTTCTTTTGGGGCTTTTTGCTCAGGCTGGCCTGTGATGCAATCCTCCTGTTTGATAATTTTAGCTGTCACTGGGGTGACAGGCATACTGTACCACAATTAGCTTTTTCCATTGAGAAGGGAACTCATGAACATTTTTTTTGTCCAGGCTGGCCTCAAACTATGATCCTTTTGATCTCAGCCTCCCAAGTAGCTAGAATTATAGGTCTGAGCCACCAGCACCCAGTTAGGAGTTGGAATTTTTTTCCCTGTAGCCAAAAGGAACCTTAAGAGCAAATAGAGCCATAGTTAGATTTGTGTTTTTAAAAATAACTGGAGCAACAATTTGAACAGGAAAGAAACCAAGTAGGAGGTAGTCACTATGGCAAAGAAAGAAAATGGTAGACGGAATCAATATAGTAGTTGAGGTAATAAAGAAGAGGCATTAACTATCCACAGTGTACAATGTCAAGGCTTGACATATCATTTGGATGACAAAAATAAAGAAGAATGAGTTGGGAGTGAATCTTATTCCTACCATGGGATCTGAGGGCATTCTCCAACCAAATGGGAAATTTAAGAAAGGTGCAATTTAAGGGATTAAGTTGGTTGTTATGAAGTCTGCAGCTGTGAATCCTGAAACTATGTCGACTACAGCCAATTGCAAAGGATTGCAGGCTCCACAGATTCCCAAGGAGTCAGGTCAAAGAATGTAAATAATTCAAAATTTAATCTTTTCTATTTCTGCATCTGTATCTCAAAGTTTCCAAATATTTCCCTGGCCCTTCCTTTAGCATGTAGGAGGTCACAGCCCTGCACATACCCACCAAAGACACCAAGGTACCAAACACTTACTTCTACTTCCTGGCAGAAGGTAGCATTGGGGCCATACTGGAGCTGGCATTGGTGGTGAACATCATAGATCACTCCAGGAGCAATTACCTTGGATTTCAAGCCTTTCTTTTGGGGGATGTCATCAAGACAGAAACCCCAGCCTCGACTGTAAAGAAGTTAATAGAAGTAAGAGAATTTGTTTATGATTCTTTCATTCAATAGAAACTTTCATCCCTCTAGTTTACTCACAATATCTTTATTTCCTATAGCCAGAGGACCCTCCATGACCAAGGGGGAGGTTAATAAAAGGAAATTCAAATCCCATCCCACACCATAAGTGTAGTTGTTGTCTAAAGATATAAGCAGTGGGAAAATTAGAAAATCATCACCTTATCCTTAACAGGGTTTGGCTGAACACTTCTGGCCTGACCACGTTGTTCCTGTGAGTCACCAAAAACTAAATTCACAATTAGGTGGTAAAATGTCACCCTGGGGCAGGAGAAAACAGGGAGGGGCAGGATGCTCACTTGGTGGTGCCTCTTAAATGTCAGAATCAGAAAGCAGAAGTGGATTCCACTCCTTGATGCCACCCCAAAACTGTGGCCTAATGGATGGAACCAACTCATTTCCAGTTCTCAGCTCCTTTATGATTTAAAGAGACCTAAGTGAGGCTGTCAGGAATTGCACCGTTACTTACTCCAAGAATCGAGTGATATAGTCCTTGCTGCACTTAGACCATGTCAGTGGGGTAGGATCGTACTGGAGCTGGTGCGACATGATGTACGGGTGCCTGCCCACAGGCTCACAGTCATTTTCTTTCCCATCGTGCTGGATGCCAAAGCTGGAACAAAACACAAGAACAGCAAGCAGGCAGGCATTAAATAGGGAGAAAAACTGTAGTTTCTCCAAGGCAGTAATAACCCACAGAGAGCCATTTTCATATAGAAGAAGCTATTTACAAAGTGAGACTATGAAGTTGGAGGGATATAGCTAATTTTGAACTTGAAAGTGAAGGAAGATTGTAAACATATGTGTACCTCATATATGCAACCATGAGAGCCATGTACCTAATTCAAAAACTTCTGTTTGGCAGAAAACTAAGAGCTCTTGGTCTGGCTCTCTAGGCATTCAACCTGCAAGGGCAAATCCTGCCCCCAAATGCCTCCTGTTGTAGCATCCCCAGCATGAAAGAACGGAACCTTCCTTTTCTTTTTACTTCATTAGGATAAAGCAGGAAAGGGGAAGACTATCGGAGGATTTGCCAAAGGCCACAGGCTTTGATGGGATAGATTTCTTTCTGCTATTGCTACAAGAGTCTCCAATAGCTGAGCCACTAGGGCAGACCTCAGAGTTCAGTGGCTGAGAGCAGGATTTTTGAAGACAGATGATCTGGTTTTGAATTCTAGTTCTGCCATTTGATGTTCTGTAAGTTACTGAAATATCACTTTCCTCTTGTAGAAAATGGGGTATTTTTCATAGTGCTAGGACGAGGTCTGAGTGGAAGAAGATTTGGAAGCCATTTAGTAAGGTACCTGGCATATAATAAGAGTTTCACAAATGTCAGAAATTTTCAATTGTTTTTTAAAACATCTTCTAGCTTATTTTCCTTATTCGGATGGGGAGTTTTAGAGTCTGAGATTTGAGAAAGTCACACATCCTGCTAGCAGTAACAGTGGGTCTTCACTGGAGACCTTCACGCTCCTGACATGGTGCTCTCTCCTCTATATGTAGCTCTGTCTGCCCCCTGGACTTCCACTGCCAGGAATGACCAGGCAAGCAACTTTGAAGGGCCCTAAAGAGATTAACCACCCATCATGGCAAAGGTATCTCTGGGAAAGAGGCTGACCAAGACATGTTCAAGATACTTTCTTAGGTTCCTTTTAAAAATCTCTCTCCACAGGGGTCTTCACATAGAACACTTACAACCTGGAGACATTAGCTCAGATTTCTAAATCTAAATACAGGAAAGTATAACTTCTTATTTCTTATAGTGAAATGCCCCCCTTCTGACTGGGAAACATACATTTAAATTTAATGAACTATGATCAGCATTAACAACTCTTGCAGAGAATAGTCTTTGAAAGGATTTAGAGAATTTCTTGTATTTTATATCTTTACAGTATTATCAACTTACTTCCAAATTCTAATCACATTTCACATGAATATAAAACTTACAAAGGAGTAGGAGAATTAATCTACAAAGCTCTGACCACCCATCTACAAAGAAAGTAATTCAGTGAAAGCCTCCTTCTGAGCAGAGTTGCCCAGGTTGCTGCAAATCCAGTCCCACCACCTCATGAAGGACTCCACAAGGTCTCCTGTTCAGTAGTTAATAAAAATTCTACATTTCAAGCAAGGTGCAAAAAATCTGCACAAATAATGGTCATTTTTGGCTGTAGGAATTTTGATACACCCATACACTGGGAGGTTTTAAACCTACACTTGAAAATATATCAGTTCCCACCAGGCATGGGGGTACATGCCGGTTTCTAAGTTACTCTAAAGGCAGAGGCAGCAGGATCTCAAGTTCCAGGCTGGCCTGGGCAAAGTTAGTAAGACACTGTCTCAAAGAAAAAATAACAACAAAAGGGCTGGGAGTTCAGCTCAAGTGGTAGAGTGCAAGTGTGAGGCCCTGCATTCCAGCCCGTGTCCTTCCTCCCACCCACAAAGGCTCACTTTGTTCCACACAATTTTTAATTCATTAAAATATTTTCTCTCCATCTTCTCATCTTATGAGAGAAAAGCAGCTCTACTAAAGTAATGTCCCTCTGATATGTGTCTACTGTCTCCAAATGGATGAAGAAATTCCATGGGACCAGCATGTCACTAACACTGAGGGATAAAGAAAGAGCATGGTGCCATAGAGATGGAAGGCTTGTTTCTAGGAAGCCACTTTTCAGGTATGGAGCCTGAACAACAGTTTGGAAGTGAGGAGCCCTGTACCACCTTCAACAACTCACAGTTTCTGGATTAGCCTGCTCTGCTTGATCTTCATTGTTTCAATTCCTTTAAGGTGAGTTTGTCAAATTGTAGACTGAAATAGTAAGTTTCAGTCTTCCTTGGTGGGATGCTTCTACCCTTGCCTCATATTATTATTCATTTTGTGATGGGGTGGAACCCACAGAGAAGTAAAGCCATGAAAGTGTGGGTGTGAGCTTTCTAACTCCTTCAGGAAATACGAGTTTTGTATGTGCAATGAGCAAAGCTCTGTAAATAAAATAAGGCAAAGCAGGAAGATTGAGTAGATATATACTCAAAATATTTCATGATATTTTCATTATTTGAAAGTATGCTAGGTCTCAGGTTCTAAAATTTCCCCTGAAATTCTGTTTTCAATTTTGGTAACTCACCTAGGGGGCCTAACAAAGGTGGTATGATGCCTTAGATATGGATGGCTAATGTAATCTAAGGCACTCACAAGTGGATTTTTAAATTTCTTCTCAAAATAGCACTGAAATTATTTACCCAGGCCATACTATAAGTAAGTTTGCTTTCTCTTTTATACCACACACAATCAGTCATGAAACAAGCAAGTTTCAAGAAATAGTGAAGTACCTATGTTATTAAACTCTAATGAGAATCTTCTGTGGATATTATTTTATCATATTTTCCTCCTCCTTGGTTGCCCCAGGCCTTTTCATTGATCTGCCCATGATCTTTAGTTTGGTCCACAGCTAATTAGAACTATACCACTAAAATAGAGATAAGAACCTCAGAAGCATTCTGTTCTTTAGTTTGTATCTTATTAAAGCATTTCTTTATCATTCATAATCAAGCCTATGTGTCTTCTTTCAACTTTCTTAGTTAGCAGTAACTCTAAACCTTTTTCTCCACTTAAAAGAGTGGGGGTTTTTTTGTTAGAGAATAAAAAATATTGAAACAACTTATCTATATATAAATATAATGTACTGTACTGTGAGCTGTTGAATATTAGGGGAGTGTGGTGATAAAGCATGAGTAAGTAAGGGGGGCAGGAGTTAATTTGATTAAAGCATGATATATACCGGCCTGAAGGATATATCAATATACACTTAAAAATAAATGGCAGGAGGGTAAAATAGGTCTTTTCTAGAGGGTAGGTACAAGAGGGAAGGAGGGTAGGCACATGGAAAGGGGGAATGAGGGCAAATATGGTGGGTGTATTTTGTATTCATATATGAAAATAGAAAAATGAAAACTGTTGCAATTGCCCGGGGAAGAGGGAGAAGGACAGAGAGGATAAATCTGAGCAAGATATATTGTAAGCATATATGTAAATATCACAATGTATCCCCCTATACAACTATTATATATTAATAAATAAATGTTTTTAAAAGAGTGGTTTTTTTAAGGTCACCTATATATATGGCCCAATGTCCTTTTTAAAAATTAAATACTTATTTTTAAATTTTAGGGTAACTAAAATTTACCCTAAAATTTTAGGGTAAATTCATATATAGTTATGAAAAATAATACTCAGAGAAGTATATATTTTTACTCACTTTTTCCCAATGGTCACCTCTTGAAAACTATAGTGCAATATTACAATTAGGCTGTTGATACTGATACAGTCAACACAGAGAACTTTTCCATCATCACAATCCCTCATTGTACTTTATAGCCACACCTGTGTCCTTCCCTCCTCTGTTCCTTTATTAAATTCTAATATCTTCTCCATTTCCACAGTTATGTTTCTATAATATTATAAAAATTGGATGTTCTTTTTTCCTCACTAAGCATAATACTTTGCAGTTGTATCAAGGCTGTTGCATGTATTAGTAATTCATTCCTTTCTATTGATAGCTTATGTATCCATCATGGAGTCTCTAACCATTCACTCTGTTGGGGTTGGAATAAATACTGCATTATTAAACATCTATCAGCATTCATGTACAAGTTTTTGTACATTTTTTCAGATGAAAACCCAGAGAATAATTGCAAAATTATATGGTAATTGTGGGTTTAGTTTTCTTGGTTTGTTTTCTTTTGTTTTAGACAGGGCTTCACTATGAAGTCCATGCTGTCCTAGAATTTGCTATCTAGTCCAGGCTGGCCTCAAACTCACGACCTTCTGCCTCTGTCTCCTCAGTGTGGGGATTACAGACGTGTACCACTGCACCCTGCTCTAAGTTTAGGTTTTTTTAATGTTTTTCATAGAATTTATGCTATTTTATATTCTCACCAGCACTCTATGATAGTTTCAGTGGATCCTCATTAGCATTTGGTATCATCTCTAATATTTACTTTATTCATTCTCACAGATATGTCATACATAAATCAGCATTTCCCTGATAACTAATAATGGTATGTATTTTTTTCATATGCTTATTCTCCATCTGCATAGTCTTTTGATGAAATGCTCGTGTGTTTTGTCCATTTTCTATTGCACTGGATTTTTTTACTGTTGAATTTTGAAAGTTATTTGTATATTCTGGATACTAGTGCTTTGTTGGATGTATGGTTTGTTAGTTTCCCACAGCTGCCATAAAAATTACCATAAACTCAGTGGCTTAAAATAAGAGAAATTCATTTTCTCACAGTTCTGAAAGCCAGAAATCTAAAATCAAATTTGGGGTGATTGTAAAAGATATTACATTTTAAATTTCGGTGTCTACCTGTTCATTGCTAGGATATGGAAATATGATTGAGTTTATCTGTTTGTGCTGTATCCTGTCAGCTTGACAAACTCATTCTACTTTCTATGTGTGTGTGTGTGTTCCATGGGGTTTTCTATATCTAAAATAATGCTATCTTCAAAGGCATAGTCTTATTTCTTCCTTTCAAACTTATATACCTTTTATTTCCTTTTCTTGCCTTCTCACACTGGCTAAAACTTTTTTTTTTGTAGTACTGTAGTCTGAA